AGCGCCAAGAAAAAAAATCCCCCAAATACATAAAGTTTACAAAAATCATAAGCACCTTCACTGTGATGTAGTTTTTTAATAGGAACAATGCACAAGTAGACTAACCTTGAGCAGCTTTTGTCGTTGAATGGATCCAGACTTTCTAAAGAGTCCTTCTGTCTCTAGATGTTGCTGAAGAAAATTTGCAGAATCTACCACGAATCTGAGGGAAAAAATTCTGATGTTACGACGTTGATAATTTATAGATACAATAAATGCAAAATCTAAAATGTGCATAGTTTGTTTTAACTATGACATGACTAGTATTGCCTCATATCAATTTAAGCGGGGATAACATTTTCTACATTTAAATGCTTTATTTACATGTACACAGTATACTTTCTCTTGTTTTATCATAAGCCTTTTGGTTTGTAAATTAATGGTTAAATCCTGAATTTATTGATCAAAAATACATATATCCATGAATTTTGGTTTGAAAATACAAGTGTATATTATCCCCTGAGTGTTCTGATTAGAAAAAATATCATCTAGTTACTTTGGAACACTGCAGTAAAAATCCTTCCCAACGTTGACAGAAGTCACTTTCTCCAGACACACTCCGAATACGCCGCTTCTATTCTGCTTGTCAACCGGCTGGTTTAAGGAAAATAAATATTATACAGTTAAGCTTTGTAAACGTTAGCTGAAGAGGAAAGGTATCAATGACATAAATGAATCAATAAAAACATTTCCAAAGCTGATTGAGCCATATAGAAGAAGAACTAAACGGAAATTTCAAACTCGGCTGTAAAACAGACTTACTTGAACTTTACAGTTTTTCTGCTTCGGTACTTTGATGCCTATGTCCTTCAGATCCTTTCTCACGATGAATCGCACATTGTCCTTGAAATCGATAGACGATAAATGCTTCATTTTAAAAGAATATCCAAAGTTTACAAATGCCCCTTCATCAAACAGTGGTCAACAAAATTCGAATACTGCGCTTAACCGTTTTGGATTCTGATTGGTTAACGCTAGATTGCTCTACGAAGGTAAGCAAGGACCTACGACGAGTGACGAAGATTTCCCGACAAGTTCATTTTTTCGCGCCTCTATTCTGTGAAAGTCAAGAGATTACCTGTCTTAAAATATATGTTTGTGTTTATACTCGCGAATAAAAAGCTATCATGGGACACGGAGACCTTAACAAGTCAAGCTTCATGATTATTTAAAATTCGTGCGCTAAACGAAATCCTCGAATGATCGAATCTCATTAAGAAATTAGCAGCAGTCTGGGCGAAGCTCAGTTAGGACGCCCTTCGTGGCTTAGGTAAGGTCAACTTTATTTTACCAGGGTGGCCCAATCAGCTGTAAGGCTGGTATCCAAGGTGCCCTGAACTAAAAAGTATAATAATTGAAAAATACAATAGATAGTAATTTAAAAATACAGGATGCAACAACTTAAAAGTACAAAATATTAAAAATCGTGAATATTCATTAAAAATTCAAAGGAAGAAAGTGACTCCGTGTTCTAAATGTGCTGAGCCCGAATATTTAAAAGTTCGTTTCCCAAGGTTTAGCTTCGGTTTGAGCAGATGCAAATCTTCTTTTGGTTCTTCTGCGAGTGGCATAACTACGTACATTGTAGTTTCTAATAAAGTAAGTAGTTTCATAATTACTGGGGTTAAAAAAAAACCTGTGTCTTCTCTGTTTCATTTCTAATAAAGCCCACTCTAAAACACCAAAAGTGTCTTAAGAGGAGTCAAGCTTTAAAACGATGCGGGCAGCACGATTTTGTAACCGTTGAAGGATTCTGTTGGAGGTGGCTGACCGTTTACCCCATGCAGTGTCGGTGTAACACAGGAGTGGCTCACGATAGGGGGTATTATAGACACATGGGTAAAGGGGGTAGGTTTCTAAAGAAACTGTGGTGCTGCGTCGGTGGGAGAGCATAGCAGGTAATTTAGTGTTAACAACTGAGTTGAAAACGTAAATTGGCCACCGTAAAAGGTAAAAAAGCTGACGTTTCGAGCGTTAGCCCCTCGTCAGAGCGTTGACTCAGTTGTTAACACTAAATTACTTACGTATTAGAGACACACTTTGCTGCCTTAAGAGTAAGGCAAGATCTTCAGGAAAATAAGTTAAAAGTAAACGAATGGTGGGCAGTTCGCTTTGATCCCTTATGATTTTAACTGATGGATGTTCCTTGAACGAGAACCAAAGAAAAACTCTGTCGACTGGTTGTTTAATAGCGAACGGAAGCGCTTCCGTTTCACCTGGGGGGAGGGTACAACTATACGTAGGCTAGTAGTTTAAGTGTAAGGGATTGAAATTAAGTGGTAAAGCTAAGATCTTATGAAACGCGTGAGTGATTGTATATTATCAGGGAATCACCGCACGCACAACCTGAGCATTGACAATGGAAAAGTGGTTCGCCGCAAAGGTTTTTAACGAAAGTTCTAAGTTAAAGGACAATGTAAGCGTGATTTTACTTCCATTTATTCCGTCTACCAGCTGATGCGCCTTTCCATAACAAACATTCCTTCCTTGTCTGCTGACTATTGACCTTTAACAACGTGCCTTATTCTGAATTCTCCCAACCCTCCCGGTGTTCATACGTGGCTACGTAACACGGGAAAAGTCCTCTATTGCCTAACTGGAGACTATCATAAATGATTCCAGTCTTATTAATCTAAAAAGAAAAAAAGAATGAAAAAATTGTATTTGCCATATGCATATGCCCTTCTTCAAAGCGTTCGTATTTGTTGCTATGGATTAACCACAGCTCAGTACGTTGATGTTCCTCCCCCAGCGATTGATTATTATTTTCACTGACCTCTATGGGTGTTGGTAATGCATTGTATTATTCTTTAGTAGTAGATCTTTATTTAAACTCGGTTAAGAATCTTCAGTTATACTAATAGTATTTTAATTACAATCATTTGTAAAAAAAATTAACATAACTATAAAAACTGATTTACAAGATTGCCCAGTGGGAATCGAATGTTTCAAGTGCGCGGTTGATTTCCTTCTTAAACTACCCAATTGATCTAATCACCCTAATAATCTCAGGAAGAGAATTCCACAGTAAGGCACCGCTAGTCAGTACGAATACAAATAGTCAGTACGCGGCTTGGGTAAGTTTAACTTACGGAAAGAATCACGCAAGTCATAGTCTGTGTGTTGCTCACTTAATAAATCATGCAAGTACACTGGGGCTAACCCGTTGAGGGATTTAAAAATCATCATAGCTTTCTGCTTTCTTCTTCTTAATGATAGCTGGTCCCACTTCAAAGTCTCAAGAAGCAGGCTTGAGTTTACCTCACAGTTGGCTTACAGAATAACCCTGGCTGCTCGGTTTTGCAATTTTTGTAGTTTTTCTCACATAGATAAGAACTCAATCCATCCCAAACGGGAGCACAGTAATCGAAATGAGGTTGGATTAAAGCGTTATATATTTGTACTGCAGTG